TCTGACTTCTGTTTTTGTCTTAGCAATTTTTCAACCTTCTTCCCCGCTCTCTCATATCCCACTATGAACAACATTGCCCTGTTCTGTAGACTTCTCTCCTTGCCTAGATATGAATCTGACTTGAATGTAAGGGGAACGTTGTAAATAATTGAAAAAGTCATAAAATTAGGTTGAGTGTTAGGGTTGTATAAAAACAAAGTGTTTTCCTATAAAATTCTCTGGGAATTGATTTAGAATTCAGGGAAAACAAACAATTTCATCCTGAGTTGGACACAGTCCAAGACTGGGGCCTCCCAGATATCAGCAGCTATTGGCATATGTCTGGAAATCTGGAAAGTGAAATTTTTAGATTTTAGTTCTGATTTTGCAAACTTTCATGAAGAAAGACTAAAGCAGGGGCAGGGTGTGTTGGTGGGGCATAGTGAGCATCTTTGCTTTAGAGGGATAGTCCATTGAAATGTTGGAAGAAAATGCTGGGAATGGGGCCCAGACAGAGCAAAGTTGAGAAGTGGATTGGGTTGTCACCTGCCCTCCCCAATCCTCCTCCCACTGTCCCTCTTCCCTCGCATGGTGCTGACCCGAGGGCCTCACTGCCAACCAACGTCTCATGCCCAGGCCTTGGAGAATCTACCCTGGCTTGTGTTAGGAACTCCTTCCATTCACCCACTAGTAATTCATTCTTTCCTGTCAAAGGCCCTTCTCAGTGACTTTCCAACGTGTTTTCTGTTTCTGTTTTCCCTACCGTGCTGGTTCCACGGCCCATCTGCACTATAATCACTGCTGTGCTTGTTAAAATGCATGCTCCTTGGCCTAGCCAGTAGTCTATTCAATCAGGATCTCTGGGAATGAGGCCAGGAATCCAGATCTTGGCAAATCCCCTAGGTAAATTACGCCTATCAGGGTTTGAAAATAATTGACTCAGTCCCTCCAGTTTTCAACTTCTCAGTTCCTTTGCTTGGATACTGAGCTTACCTTTCTTTCCTGACTTAACAATTCTGTGGACAATCTTTTGGCTAATATTCTGGTTCATCTTGGCCTTATAGTAGCCTCTCTTGTGCACCATTCTCACAGGCAATGAAGCAGTGCCCCCTGCACCTCTGCCCCCTATATCTGGGTGAGTCTAGCCTTACAGGCAGAACACAGATACACAAGTTGCTAGTTGTAAACATAAGATATTACCTTATCCAGTAATATATGTTTTTCTGTTTTTCAATTTTTAATTAATATTAATTATTTTTTTAGAGGTAAGCTCTCACTATGTTGCCCAGGCTAGTCTCAAACTTCTGGTGTCTGAGACATCCTCCCACCTCAGCCTCCTGAGTCACTGGGATTACAGACGTCAGCCACCACGCCTGACACATTTGTCTTTCTAAAAGAAGCCTTCATCCTCCAAAGAAGTACATATGTAGGGAATTTTATGTACTCGAGACTGAGTGTGCTAAGATTAATTTCAGCCGGAAGTCCTTGAGGAGCACTCTGCCGACCGTGGTTAGAACGTGGCTACATATACTGCCTATTTGGAGGAATAACTACAGAGACTATGAGGACAATTTACATTTTGAAATATTTTTCTACCAGTCTAATGGGGCTGTGGCTGTTTGCTGCTCCTGGAAACACCACTTCATGAACTAGCTTCCTGGCAATGTGTTCAGGGGCTGGGGTCATGCCAGCCTTGGCTACAGAACCTAAGGGAAGGACAGAGGTCCAGGGGAATGACAAATAGAAGACAGCAGAAAGTCTTGCTTAAGGCTGTGGGCGTTGGAATTGGGCATTATGGGGATTCAATTCTGGCCATGGGATCACAGACAAGGTGCTTCAACTATGCCCCATTGTTCTCAAATTAAATTAAAGACAATAATTACTGATTTCATAGTGTGTCAGGATTAATACTGCAATGCACACTCAGTGTTTGGCACAAGCAATCCAGAGAGTAATCCTTGCCATCATTGTTATCATGGCCCTTATTATTTTAACACTTGCAGTGGGGAGAAGGGAGGAAGCAGTTTTGTTCTTCCACTTTTAGGGGCTCTAAACTTTTCTGCAGCACACATTTCTGCTTCCACTCACATGCCCCTTTCCTCTATCAAGCAGGGACCTTGGGGACTTTGCACTGTGTCCCTTCTCCCACCCCATTTAATGTACAGATGCAATCCAGGGAGCATGAACATCCAGGGCCAAAGAGACTTCAAGCATGATTGGAACATACAGGAAAGGGGAAGGGGTGCCCACCCATGGTGAGAGCTGGGGATGGGCTCTGAGCTCATTGTATGCTGGTCTATAACGTCCATGTCTTCTGTTCAGCTGCATCTGTTTAGTGTTGGGACTAACTTGGGGAGCCCTGCTGTGAAAGCCATCTCAATTCAAGAAAGTGGCTGAGAGTGAGATGGGGGCAAGGGGATGAAGGGAAAGTGTGGGTGGATGGGGACATGGAGTGGGCAGGGGAGATTTGGAGATGGGTAAAGGGATCTATTAGTAGGGAAGGGTGAGTTCTCACTATCATACTGACTTAGTCGGTTTGGGCTGCTATAGCAGAATACCACAGACTGAGTGGCTGAAACAATGGACATTTATTCTTACAGTTCTGGAGGCTGGAAGTGCAAGATCAGTGTGCCAGAATGGTTGGTTTCTGATCAGGGGCCTCTTCCTGGTTTGCAGATGTCTGTTTTCTTATCTTGTCTTTCCCATGGCAGAGAGCAGAGAGAAGCAAGTTCACTCATGTCTTGTCTTATAAGAGCACTAATCCCATTATAAGGGGCTCTCCATGGTCTAATCACCTCCCAAAGGCCTCATCTCCAAACACCGTCACGTTGGGTGTTGGGGTTTCAGCATATGAATTGGGGGGAACATAACATGTAATCCATAACACAGGCCAAACCTCTCATTAATTAGTGCACCAGGAAGGCATCTAGAGCAGTGGGGATAACACCTAGAGATTTCAGCAGAGAAAGCATGAGGAGGATAGAGCTTGCAGGGGCAAGAGCATTGTCGGATTAAAAGTGGAGGAAAAACAGAAACTGGAAGTAAAAAGAAGAAAGGAAAAAAGGAGGCAAATATACCAAATGCAGAGAACCTGGGTTTGAATCTGTCTGCATGAAAATATCTGAAGCTAGTGAAATATGCACAGCTAACATGCCACTGGATGGTGGCAGGGTCATTGTTGAGATTGTGTAGTCACTTGTTTTTAGCAAGCAGCCTTTTCTTCTTGCAAGCAGCCCTTCTCAAGAGACAAGCCAGGACCAAGGTTCACATCCCCTTTATGCAGAGTTTGGTGGGTGTGAGATACAATGTTCCGTGGTCTCACTCCCCTCTCTCCGTTTTCTACCTGAACTGGGTAGAAATAGATGATGGTGTCTCGGAGCATTGCCTGTGGGGTTCAGGGAAGCAATTTCTATAATCAGATGCTCCCTTCACCTCTGAAGACGAAGGAGGGAGAATTGTTGGTGAGTCCTCACCGCACCCACCTCTGCTGGGGGCCACGAAAGAAATCCTGTTCTCGGGTCCCAGAGCTGAGGAGCTCCACACACTCATGTATGCTCTGCATTTTCATGAAAGGGATTCGAGGCCACCAGGGGGAGAGCATTACCAAAGCCGGGTGTGGCTCCTGAGGCTAAGTGTCTTCAGTGTGTGTGCAGCCCACGTGTGCCCAGGAATAAATGAAAACATCTTTGCATTTCCATGGGAATGTCGGTACCCTACACCTTGTATTATTTCTTGACTTACAACTAAGGCATGGTCTTTCCTTAGCTAACAAATCCTCGTCTTTCCATGGAGAAAAGGGAGCTTACCCCTTCATGGTGAATTCAGTGATTTTACTCCCACAAACATTTTTAACGACATCCTACAGCTTTAGCTCTTCTGGGTACCTGAGGTGAGTTATGACTTCATTCCAAAGCTGGTTCCGGTTTCCCGGCAGCCACTCTGGTTCTCCCAGGGCTCATCTGCCTCTCACTGGGCTCTGGCTGTCTCCAGGCTCCTCACCCTTCTTTTATAAACAATTTAATTTCTCCCCTCCTTCCAGAGAGTGGAGGGTGAATGGTTTCTTTTGAGGAGACCCAGGTTTAATTGCACCTCTTATTAAACATCCACACACAATGTTTTACATATGATTTGTGGGGATCTCCAAGGGGACTTGTGGATTCCTTGAAGATTATCTATGTCCCCCCTACCCCCAACTGAAGATGCCTCAGGTTAAATAGACAGGTTTCTAGGGCTCAGTGATTACCACTGTCATTCCAAATCCTGCCAAGGGCTTCCTGACACATGCTTTCAAACATAAGAGGCTGGACCAAAGCTCTGGTGGTGGTCGTGGGAAGTGGTTCAGATCCCCCTTTGAGAGAGAGTGTTGGGGTGTGCAGTCAGCTGACAGCCTCCAGTTGCAGGGCTTTAGGACCCACCATAGCATTGAAGCACAGACCACTCTCTCCAGAGAGTTCCAGCCAGTGGCTGAGCACGTTGGGTGCCTGGCCTGGCCATTTCTGCCAATGGGAGACCTCTCTCTGGGCAACCTCTGTACGCTATTGGGCCAGCCCAGGAGCTGCTTTGCAGAATGAGGCTCTTCCTGCCCATTCCCCCCACCCCTTTATTCATGGGGGTCACATGTGCATAGTGGCCTTTCCCTGGCTACTTCTGCTTCCTCTCCTCTTTACCCCTTTATCTTTCCCAGGTGTTCCCACCACCCCAGTAAAGTTTTTATAACTCTGCCTTGGTGTCTGCAACCTAGACGGCCTGAACCAACACACTCTCTATGCACAGGTGACATCACTGGTCACATCACACAATCCCACCTTACCTTCCCAGATCTCAACCTGTAAACAGTCCCTACATCTTGCCAACCCACTTCATTACAGAGTTAGGAGTCTGCTGATGTTGGGTTCATCCTTCTAGCTATGAAAGTTATTAGGGTTCCTAGTACCATCCCATTAAGCCTTCTATAGGGTGTTTAGTTCCCTAGAGAAGAGACAGAGGCATGAGATAGTCAAACACATACTTTATTTCTGTATAGACATTCTTTCCAGGATCCCAGGCTGGAAAACATGGAAACTTCAGGAATGATCCCTCTCCACTTATACCCGTCTGCATGGAAATCAGGCCAGTGAGGTCAGTGCCTGATTCCCCTTTCCACAGGGTTCCATTCAGTCCTTACATCTCAGCCTTCTAGGGGGAGAGGGGCAAGGAGGATAAGGACCCTCAGTCTCCAGTTCTTCCCCTAAAGGTCCCCCTCTCCACCCCTCAATTACTATGGTCCATGGACGGTGAGTCCATGATGTACACGGGAGCTCCTCCCTGAGAAAGAATGAGGAGGAGGAGGAGGAGACAGGCACAGCACAAGTATCACAGTGACAGCAATTGGATCCCACATTTTGGAAGTAACATAACACAGACACCCCCCCTGGTGTCTTATATTGTTTTACTACTGGACAGTACACCAAGGAAACACACGTAGGAGATAAACACAGGGTGGCACATTTCTATAATAAGAATGAGACCCATGCACAGTGCAAATCACGGTGTTCCTCACACATGGGAGCTGATGACATTTTTATAAGTCAAATGGACGTTGGAGAGTGGGTCAGAGGAAGGCTTGCTGGCACTCTCCGAGGGCTGTTTTGCCGTCCTGGAAACTGCCCAAGGCCATCGCATGTTCCCTTTTAGTAGGCACAGTGATGATGCTGTTCAACCACATCCCTTTAGTTCCCTGGGGCCGATGGGTGGCTCCCTTTGGAATGATCTTAGAGGACTCTCATAACAAAGGCCCTCCAAAGGTCCCAGCCTTTGGCTTGATTACCTGCGTTGAGTGTGGGTTTCTAGAATCCAGTGGAGAATCTGTTCCTCAGATGCCTCCAGGTTTTCTGGGCAGCCCAGACCCACTAGGACTGGGGAGTTAGCAACAGCAAACATGGCGGGCTCTGCAGAGCTGATGGAACTGTGTCCCCAGCTCAGGGCGGAGTCCAGAGCAAGTGCCCAATAAAACCTTGTTGGATTCAACCTTAACCTTCTCTTCCATAGGTGGGATGTTCCCAACTCCTTGACACTTTCTTCTTAGGTGCTTCCCATAATCATGTCAGTTCTTTACACCCTTCTGAAGTGAACAGTCCATACATGGCATGATTCTCTATTGGAAGTATTACTGATGTTTAAGCATGGACTTTTGTTGCCCTGAATTTTGTCTTCCATTCATAGATCTGCATTGAGCTGGATTTACTTAATTTATTTAATACTTTCCATGCTACTTTGCAGAATACGGTTCTTAAGGTTTTCTGGCTTATACTATTGATTCTTCCCCCAGGCCTGGTAGAATTAGAGCCAGCAGGGCTGGTAAAGGCTGCAAACTCTGCGGGTAGCATTATTCTCCCCTTAATGCTATGGATGCAGCACATGTGCACCCATTATTCAAACTATGAGGAGGATACTGACAGATGTTACACGAAGCTTCTGTTTCCCCATGTCCGGACAAAGCACAGATCTGAGAGACAGAAGGAAACTGCATTCTCACTTTCCAGAATCTCCAAAGCTGTATTAGGAACTGAGCATTCAGTTCATGGCTCTCATCAGACTGACTGTCCTTTAGGGTTTGTGGGTCATTCTATCTTATAGACAGGAGGCCAGCGAAGCCATGGGGCAGGAAAGGGAGATTCAGAGATCTGAAAGGAAGATGCAACGCGCCCTCTTCCCAGAAGTGGGAAGCTGCAGGGTGCGGCATCCTTGCTCATTTCGTGTCTGAGCACAAGCCTTATGGTAGTAGAAAGTTAAGAATCTGGGTTGGGGCCCCTGCCCTAAAATACCCAAAAGGCCAGAGCAGGAAGCCCACATGCTCGTACTCCTTGACAGTGTTCTCCAGCTATGTAAATCAGCCAGCTGAAGCCTGCTGGAGAGATGCAGGCTTTGGCATGAAGTTCTCCACATTGTCAAAGGTCAAAACCTTCCAGGAGAAGGACGGTACTCAGAGTTTTAGGATAAACCAGATAATGTCTGGATGGATAGTTACACATGGTCTTAGCAGTGGCTACATCTCCAGGAACTGGGGATTAGTCATGAGACTTACTGCTCCTATTGTTTCTGAGACCACCATCTTTTTGGTGGAACAAACAAACAAAAAAACTCATACAATCATTGAACCATGGGAAGTTAATATTCCAAAGGATGTTTTGATTATCTAGTTCAGCTCCATTGTTTACAAATAAGGAAAGAGGCTCAGACAGATTAAGTGTGGTGCAAGTCTCCTGATTTTCAGTCTGTAACAGACATTAGCAGGTACCAGTGGACATGTTCTGCCTGCATTGGTTGCTCAGGACTGTCACTGGGGACATACTGCAGAAGAACTTGGGCTCTCAATCCCACGATGTTTAAGTATATTGAAATACTGAGATGTCAAAAAGGGTCAGACGAATCAACATCTTTTCACATCTGCTTAGAAGACAGGGTTAAATCTCTCATTCACATCTTCTGCGCAGCCTTCTTTTGTTTACGCTGTCAGGTGAAGGCTGGTGTGATGTGAGCCACCAGCCGCAGGGAGCTGTCTGAGTGTGACTGAGAGCAACAGGATTGAAGTCAGACAGGGCTCCAGACAAATGGGTCCATTGGGTCTGTGGCTGCGCTGCACAACTCATCCCGAAATGAGCACCCACATGCAAAGTCACTTCTGGAGTCATGGAATGGGCTTTAGGGAAAATCTAGTCCAACTTTCTCATTTTACAGGCTCAGCAAAGCTCAGTGATGTGGTTTGAGTCACACAGCATGGAGGTGGTGAAGACAGGGAGGAATCCAGATTTTTAGGCTCTAGGATGGAATGTGTTCTCTGAGCCTTTCCACAGCCCGGATGTTAGGGTGTTTCTGATGGTCTCCATCTCGAGGAAGCATCTATGCATGGAGTGAAGCAGGACAAAGGCGGGGGTGCTGCACCTACGGGGGCCCTGTGGCCTAGGACAGCACGTTGGAGGAGAAGCTGAAGCTCTCTGTCATGGTCTTGCAGTCGCTGCGCGAGGAGCCGTTGGAGGTCAGGTCCAGGGACATGGGTGTGGCCTTGGGGCCGTCATCCGGCTCCTCCTCGTGGGCCCCCGCCACTGTGGAGATGGTGGTCTCCAGACGGCTGACCTTATACACGCTGCCCTGGGTCTGGAGGTAGCGGGTGGACTTCATCTCCAGCCCCTCGTAGTCGCCGGCGCTGATGAAGGGGCAGCACCGGAAGGCGTGCTTGAAGCCCACGCGGAACCTGGAGAGAGGGCAGACCAAGAGGTGACCCCTGGGGACTCCTGCTCAGAGGGCCTTCAGCTCTCTCACACATGGACACACCCAAGTGTAGCTCTGTTATAATTTTTTACATTAACTGACAGAGATGCTGAGGCCAAAAAGGTATAAGGGTCAATCATCAAGGTCAAACTCAAGACCAGAAAAAACAATTCAAGACTAGAACCCAGGTTCATGTGAAATGCATGCTGTCACTGAGGGCAGCTGCTGAGCTATGCTGCCTTCTCTGGTGTGGGGATGGGGACAGCCAGGCTCGGAGTCAATTCAACTCCACAAAACACACGCACGAAGTGTTTACCATGCACATGGCACCGTGCTAGTCACTGGGTGGTAAAAACACCTCTCAGGATTCAGTCCTCTCCCTCAGTAGTAGCCCTTTGACTTAAAGAGGACTTCCTGCCAGTCATGTTCCTGCAGCTTGCCTCAGTTTCCCTGTTTTTAAAACAGGGAAAGTCAGCCTTTACTCAAAGTCATGCTGGGAGACTTAACCTATAAAAATTTAGGCAGGTCGTCAAATTCTTAGAAGGATGAATCTGTGAGTCAGACTAACAGAGACCATTTGGACAAGTTTAAGAGAATGTCTTTCCTCAAACTCACAGTGCCTGAGTGTCTCATTCACAGAAGGCACTTTACAGGCTGAAGACTGATGGATACAAAGGATGGGAAGCACCTGCTCCTCCTCTTCCTCTGCTGCCTCCTTCCCCACCCGGAGGCTGGGGTGGTGCTCTGGATCGCAGACTGTGCTGTGGCCTTGTGTCCCTGCCCCTCCTGGACTCCCGAGTGCCCACAGTCCTGGTGGGCTCCCCCTTCTCCTACTTGTCTGAGGTTGGCTTCTGCTGCAGGATGGCTCTCCCCAGCCCATCCGACCAGGTGAGGGCAGGAATCAAACCTTTCTGCTTACCCTGTGCTGCTGGAACTGCTGGAAGAAACTGGGTAAAGCTGCCCATATCATAAGATGGGATGGGAAGAGGAAAGTGAGAGAACAGAAGAAGGGAGAATGTGCTCTTTGGGGGTGGTATCTAGTGCCACCCTTTTCTCTGTCCCTCTCTCTCTCCACTGGATTCGAACTCCTGACCTTGAGCAATCTGCCTGCCTTGGCCTCCCAGAGTGCTAGGATTACAGGCATGAGCCACCTCACCCCGCCTTCTCCACTGGATCCACAGGGCAGAGTGAGCAAACTTACAGGACATGGACAAGAGACTGTAGCCAGCTTGCAGGCCCGCTTTCTATGCATTAATCACAGAGGTTTGTAATTCCCTGCTCCCTTGAGATTTCTGGTTCCACTTGGAAAAAAAAAATCATTTCACCCTGGGCTCACATTCTATAATTAGCAGGGGCTGTGCAGTGTGGTGCTTAGTTTGCAGCAGTCCCCACCTCTCCCTCTTGTCTCACAGCTGGCTTTGCCCACGCAGGGTGCCTGCCTGGCTGCTGTGTGGACAGAGGGTTTGTGGGGCCTGGAGGGAGTAAGGGGGGATGGAGTTCCCACCTGTCATTGAGGCAGCAGTAGATGATGGGGTTGTACATGGTGGAGCTCATGGCCAGCCACATGATGGCCAGGTAGACCTGCTGGATGAACTTCTTCAGGTAGAGATCCGGGTTGATGTAGGGCAGCAGGAAGAAGATGTGGAAGGGCAGCCAGCAGATGGCAAAGGTGCAAACCACGACGATCATCATTTTGACCACCTGGCAAGAGGGTGAGACAGGTGAGACCACCAGCACACCCTTTCTGTCTCCTCCCAGCCCTCTCTCTGTGCACAGTGTGGCATGGGGTGGGAAGTGTTTAAAATAACCCCTTTCGAGGAGGAGAAAGATCTTTGATATGTGCTGCTAAAGGATTTCCATTAGGTCAGCAGTTCTCAGAGCATGGCCCCAGGACCAGCACCATCACCATCATCATCACCTGGGAACTTGTTAGAAACGCAAATTCTTGGACGCCACCCCAGACTTACTCTAAGCATGGGCCCCTGAATTCTATGTCTAACAAACCCTGCAGATGATTGTGATGCATACTCATATTTGGGGACTGCTGCGCTTTATTATCCTTCTGGGCAATGACTGGAGAAGCCAAGGGAAACCATGTTGATAAGCAAAGGTGAAAGGGTGTTCAGGAGAGAAAGTTCTGGTGGGGGAGCCACAGAAGGGTGGGAAAGAGGAGGCAATGAGCCAGGGCAGGCTGCTTGGGTTGGAGACCAAGGGGAGGGAAGGAGAAGGGAAGAGATCTGGATAGCTGCAGCAAGGGAGTGCCAGATGTTTAACAGGGATTTGAAAGAATGTGAGGTGCTATAGTCTGAATGTTGTGTCACCCCAAATTTACATGTTGAAATCCTACCCCTCAAGATGATGGTATTAGGAAGTGGGGCCTTTTGGAAGTGATTAACTCTTGAGGGCAGAGCCCTCATGAATAGGATTCGTGCCCTTATTGAAGAGGTCTGAGAGAGACCCCTCACCCCTTTGTCACATGAAGGCACAGTGAGAAGGCACCATGCATAAACCAGGAAGTGGACCCTCACCAGGCATTAAATCTGTCAGCACCTTGATCTTGGACTTCCCAGCCTCCAGAGCTGTGAGAAATAAGTTCACAGTCGAAGATATTTTGTTACAGCAGCCTGAATAGACTAAGACACTGGGTGATGTAACCTTCTTCTTTTTATCCCCAAGAAATTTTCAGAGAACTACACAGCATTCATACCATGAAATACTATGTAAAGAAGTAACAAAAGAAAAAAAAATGAGACTTTTTATATATTGACTTTCAAAGATCTTGTGGATTTTGAGTGAAAAAAGTAATAAAAGGACAGTGTGTATTTACTATTTGTATAAAAATAAGAGAAAATAATACATATTTACTTGGCTCATAAGTACCAAGATCTAGAAGTGTTAACAAGAAACAACAAACAGCTGTTACCATTGTGTGCACATGGGTAGATGGAATGCCTAGAAGGGAGGGAGCTTTTTTGTGGTAAGACTTTTAAAATATTTTTTCAGCATTTAATTTTGAACTAATTAAGGTCTTCAAGGAGCTGCAAAAGTAGTGCAAAGAGATCCCAGGTACCCTTCACCCAGCTTCCTCCAATGATACTATCTTACATAACCATACAATTAATCCAAACCAGGAAGCTGACTGTTTACCAAGCTATTCGGCCAGTTCTTACATGCACTGTCTTTCTTTTTTCTTTTATTTTTTTGGTGAACAGGTCTATACAATGTCATCACATGTATAGATAAGTGACAACACGGCTGCAGTCAGCATACAGAACTGTCCCATCACCACTCACTTACTCTCTCCCTTTATTGGCAACTTCTCCAGCCCCAAACACTAGCCCTGGGCAACCCCGATCTATTACTTATCACTATAATTTTGTTTCTTTCCTTTGAATACTTTTGGATGTTTGAGCCATGTGAATGTATTGTTTTGTTAAATGTTAAACAAATAATAAAAAGAAGACCAAATAACTATTCAGTGCTTTTGTAGTTAAGGTGTGTGTGTATGTGTGTGTATGTGTATATGTGTGTGTATCTGTGTGTGCATATGTGTATCTGTGTGTGTATGTGTGTGTATCTGTGTGCATGTGTGTGTATCTGTGTGTATGTGTGTGTATCTGTGTGTGTATGTGTGTGTGTATCTGTGTGTGTACACACGTGCACATGGATTGACAAGTTGCAGTTATTTTTAAGCAGCCAGCAAGCTGGCTCATGCCTGTGCGGCAGCCCTGGGTTACAAAGACACTGAGGCAAGGTGCCTCCCATCCTCTCCGCTGTTCCCCAGACACGGGGACGTTTTGTGGCTGCCGCCTCTGGGGCTCCCCAGCTTGCCGGCCCTGCTTGCCAGCCTGCCGCCTGCCCCTTGCTCACCTTGCGCTTGGCAGACACTTGCTCGTGGTATCGGTCCGAGGAGTCTCCGGGGATCTCGCTGGCCCACAGCGTGATTCCCACCACGGTGTACGCGTAGCCGATGACCAGCAGGGGGAGGAAGTAGATCAGCACAGTCACGCAGATGTGGTACCTGCAACGAGGCGAACCGGACGGGGTCAGTCTAAGATATTTCTTAAGTTAGATTTGTTTTTGTTTGTTTTTTTTGTTATTGTTATTACAGCGGTGGTCAAGGTGTGGCAGCTGCTCTTCTCAGCATTTGCCATTAATAAGCTCAGGCTGTAAGGCACACCTCAGGGAGACTTGCCACTTGCATAGGGTGGATGGGTGATATTAATGGATAAACTAGAGAAAGCAAATCTCTTCAATTTATGTTTTTCTTGTGGACTTTTTCCATAATGCAGATTCCTGTTCAAGTTGAAAAGAAATGAAAAAACATTGATGAAAGGGAACTGAATTTGTTGTATACCTATGGCAACTTTAGTTGATGTTAAGTTCAATATCACTCACACCACTCTCTCCAAAAGAATGCAAATGTAGGCCGCATTAATAGAAGTATATTCTCTAGAATGAAGGAGGGGATGATATCACTCAATTCACATCACTTATGCTCAATTTTAGTGCAGGAATGTAGACCAACTAATACATTCAAGTGAAAACTACCAAAATAGTTACTACGCCCCAATTTATGCTAGATAACAAATGGATTTGTGGGTATGAGAATAATTAGCTCGGAGGAGAGAGATAAGATTAATCCTAGAACTAGGATCCAAGATAAGACTAATCCTAGAACTAGCCATGTAGTATAAACCATTTCTAATCCTGGACTTAATATATCTTCAGATAGAAACTGCTTGGGTCTCTGAGTCATCACTTTGCGGACAGATGCCAACTGACTCACGTTTGACCAGAGTAACGAGCAAGAACAAACCTTTGGTGTGTTAAGCCACTGAGATTTTGAGGTTCGTTACATAGCAAAACTTACTCTACTCTGTTTAAGACAAGAGACTTAAATGAGTAGGAGAGTCAAATATGATTTTTGAATTTTGAGAAAGGATATTTTTCTTAGGGGGTCCTTGGCTTGTTATAGCTCTTTTCTTAGATATGAGTATAATTGAAAGGCTCAGAATTCATAACAATCATAATGAGAACAGCTAATATTTGGGGAACTTTAGGTCACTGTGCCAATAATAATATTAAAGATAGTATTAATAGTGAAATAGTAGTTAAATTTTATTGAGTGTTTATAAAAAGCACAAGGCAAACATTTTACTAGCATTATCTTATTTAATCCTCAAAGCAAATGCCTGGGTATGTCCCATCATAATCCCATTGGTAGATGATGAAACCAAAGGTAAGAATTTAATTAATTTGCTCAAATTCACAGCTGGTAAAGGGAGGGGCTGGGATTATTATGCAGGTCTGTCACTCCAGAACCAGCTTCTTGTCACTGGAGAAAACCTACCCAAGGATTTGTTTCTTCTACTCTCTTTACAGTCTATGTTTATCCTGTGCAATGATTTTCTTCCAGTAAGGAAAACTCACTTATTCATTCAATTTCTCCTTTGTGGATACACTGTTTGCTTTCAATTGCTTCTTTGTAACGCCTCACAGTTTCGCCACTTATTCAGCCCCCTCTGAATATTAAAATTTGCAATTTGAAAATGCTTGAAGAACTCTTAAGTAACAAACCACAGATTCAGCCAAGCAGGGAGCCAAGTGCATTTGTTCTGTGCAGACAGGCTGCTCCGGTCTCACGTTGCTTTCAAAGGCCCCTGAATTGTCACCTCCCAGGAGCCCCTGGGTTCTCCAGCCACCACAGCAGTGGCTGCATGTTGTGTTTCTTACCTGATCTTCTTGTTGCTGGACTGACAGTGCTTGTAAGCCAAGTGTTTGGAGACTAACAGGGGCAGGGAGAACCTGAGAACCTCCAAGTGGCACCGACTTCTCCTACCTGTAAGCAAAGCCCCTCCTCAGGCAGGCTGACACGTGGTTCGTGACCCACACGTGTTAGTGGACTTTGCCAGGGCCTTGCCTCAGAGCGCTGAGCACTGATTGTTGGGGTCAGGGATGTGATGGGAGGACACTGCATCAAGTCGCCAGTGCTCCTGACCTGGGGTCCTCAAGCTTCAGCAGGCTTCAGAATCGCCTGGTGGGCTTGTACAATCACAGAGGCCTGGCCCCATCCAGAGTTTCTGACTCAACTGGTCTGGGGTTGGCCTGGGAACCTGCATGCATTTCTAACAAGTTCCCAGGAGATGCTGATGCTGCTGTTCCTGATTCAGACTCTGAGAAACACTATCTTAGGGCAACATTTCTCAACCCCAGATGCACACGAGAACCACCAGGGAAGCTTTTAAAATGATCAGTGCCCAAAGGTATTCATTCAATTGGCCTGGGTGTGGGAGCAGGAAATTATGTTTTAGAAAATTCCCCAAGTTATTCTGATAGATGGCTAGCATTGAGAACCACTGCTTCAGATCCTAGGTCCATAAGCCTGTTGGGACACCATTGTTGTTTGTGATTTAATGACTCTATTAAAGTGTATTAACCACGGTTTTCTGGTTTACAAAAACCTGCCCTTCAGTGTCTGGAGCTTTGCTGATCAGGGAGGGACTACCCCTTTCAGGCCCAGCCTAATTCCCAGGAGAACAAATGACTCTCAGCCAGGGTGCCTTTCATTCCCAAACTAGCTAATCCTAAACCCATACCCCCCACCTGCCTGCTTTATAGTGTTCTTACTCTGGAGGACACTGCTCTTCTGCCCTAATCGCCCCAAGCCAGGCATCAGACATCTAAGGACAGCTCGTACACTCTGGAGCCTTCTGAAATTATTCAAACTAGTTAATACTAAACCTGCTCACCCTGCCTCACCCATTCCTTCCTGGGAAACCCCAAGAAAGCCTTCCCAGGTGGCATGGCAGTGGTATGGGCCCTGTCCCTTTAGCTTGGGAACTGCCAGTAATAAAGTATCTTTTCAACTGTGACCATGTCCTGATCTGTTGACCTCACCATAACTGAATACAAAATAAAATCTACATTTTAAAACAATGTGCCCTTGGGGAGATCACAGACCAGGCCATTATGAAAATGCTAAGATGAATCAGTAAACATAATTTATCAGTCTTTTTTATGCTTCCCTTTTTAAAGAAGGAAAAACAATTTTGTTATTTATTTGAAAATGACAAAAAGTATGGGTTTAATTTCAGCTAAAAAGTGTTATAGTTAGGTGGAGTATTCATTGGCTTATTCATGGTGTAAGAGGGATAATTAACCACTTCGGTACAAATGTCGACTATAGTCGACAGCCACAGATGAAGCAGCACAGCCGAGCGTCAACTTTAGCCAACGGCCGTGATATGACTTTTCTAATTTTTCATTTATCAAAATAAAATTGTAAACATTTAAAAATAACGAAATGTAATGAAAACATATATGTTACCTATTCTGATTTACATTACAAGTAAAGCTGCCTGTAAAGTAAAACAAGCTTTCAGTGCTTTAAAGCTTTCCTCACCACACAAGAGCAAAACGGATTCACCATCAATGCGCAGCACAAACTGTCAAACTGTCGTGCGGACTGTGGGTGCCGGCTGTGGGCGAGGTTTCGGGGCCGGTGAGCGCCGTACCGAAGTGGTTAAGAATAGCATAGGAATATGATCCAGCAATTTCTATTTCTAGATACAGACTCAAAAGAACTGGAAAGCCGGGACTCAAACAGGCATTTTTTGAATCTGCACACTGATATTATTCACAACAGCTAAAAGGTAGAAACATCCCAAATGCCCAGTAACAGATGAATGAACAAGCAATATGTGGTGTGTACATACAGTGGATTATCATTCAACCTTAAAACAGGTGACATTCTGACACACGCTACAACATGGATGGACCTCGTAAACATTCTGCTAAGTGAATAAGCCAGCCACAAAAGCAAAAACATTGTAGGATGTTTTGAACATCCTACAATATGAAATACTTATATGAAATATCTGGAATAGGCGAAGTCAGAGAAAGAAAGCAGGTTAGAGGTTACCAGGAGGGAGAGGGTGGGAATTATTGTTTAGTGGATACAGAGTCTGAGATAAAGAAAAAGTTCTGGAAGTGAGTAGTTGTGATGGTTGTACAACATTGTGAATTGACTTAATGTCACTGAATTATATACTTTAAAATGGTTAAGATGGTAAATTTTGTTATGTGTATTTTATCACAATAAAAAAATTAAGAAATTATGTAAGAAAAATTTAGCCAAGCTGGCATTCTAGGTCTCCAGGTTTGCAGTCTTTTGCTCCTTCCAGGGACTCCTTGACAACCACTCCTGCCCTAAAACACGGAAGGTTTGGATGGGTTCAAAGGTTAAACACATCATTCTAAGTATTGCTCAGACAAACAGCCTTTACCTTTACACAGAAATTGGAAATGCTTATTCCAAACCATGTCTAAGTTATCCAAAATTCTAAGTGAATGCAGGTCCAATGAATGAAATCCCATCATTAGAAACTATGAAAATAAATACATTTCTTTCACCTTGATACCTTTTGGGAGAAATTTTTACTGTATCCTGTAGTTAAGTGGAGATTATTTCAGAGAGCTGGTCAATGAACAAACCAGCGTAATCTTTTTTTGTGCAGTGCCACACTTGTTTGGCTCTCATTCTGATATTGCCTAAATTCCTGCCAGGCAGGATTTTATCAGCTCTCAGAATTAATACCTGTCTTGGGAGAAGAGATCTGGGGTCAAGGATGCACCAAGAGTGAGCCAGAGACAGAACCAGGGGTGGCAACAGGAGGCAGCGACAGAAGGGACTGCCTGGTCCCCACATGATGAGATACGTGCTGGGTTGGTATTGGCGTGAGGGAACCTAGCACAGTGACTTTGATCATTAAATCCCACTGATGGGCTTATCGGAACATTCAGAAAGAAGGCTCGTGCAACAACTGCATGCCTTTGTTCCCTCTAGTTCACTCCTCTAAGCAGCGAATGTGGCTTGGGGTATTTTGCAAGATAAGTTTGCTGAGTACAGACCATGTAGCCCCAAATCCTGCAGATCCCCATGTCCTTAATGTCATAATATCTAAATGTTCACTAATCCAGTTTTCCTTATGTCTCACTAGCTGGAATAACCTTATTGTT